GGAATCTAAGGAACAAACTGAACTATCAAGCAAAATAGAGACAGACTCATAGATAGAGAGCAGGCTGACAGCTCTGGTGGGGGGAGGGGAGGTTAGGGGATAGAGGGATCCAGGAAAAAGGACTCATGGACATGGACAACAGTGTGGTGATTGTAGGGGGTGGGTAGAGGTGGAAGGGGGTATAAGGAAGATAAATGTTATTAGAGAAAAATACAATAAAAAGATAACATATAGGAACTACTATCTAAAAATAAATAAGTAAAAATAACATTTCAGAAAAAGTGACAAACACTAAAGGAAGCAAGGAAGACTTGGCATATGGATAATAGGATTACCTGAAGAAGAAAACCAAAGCAAGGGAAAAGAAGAAAGGCTAAAACTAATTTTAAGAAAAGTTTCCATAATCTAAAGAAACCAACCAACCAACTAACCAAGATTTGATTTGAAAAATCGTATCATGTGTGCCTGAGAATTCTGACCCCAGAGAACAACAAATGCTAATAAAAGTACTAAACTTGAAAGAAAAGGAAAAAATGCTGTGGACATTTCAGCAAAAAGAGCAGGTGGTTTATAAAAGAAATTAGATCACCCTCAAACTTTTTGACACCAACAGTTTATGCCAGAAGAAAATACAGTAACAGATATTATAAGATTCTCAGGGGGAGCCCTGGCTAGAGTGGCTCAGTGGACTGAGTGCCGGCCTGCAAACCAAAGGGTCACTTGTTCGATTCCCAGTCAGGGCACATGCCTGGGTGGCAGGCCAGGTGCCCAATGTGGGGGGCATGTGAGAGGCAACCACACATGGGTGTTTCTCTCCTTCCCTTCCCCTGTCTCTAAAAAATACATCATAATCAAAGTTTCTCAAGGGGAAAAATGTGAGCTGAGGACATATATGTGGTAAAATACCTTAAGTATAATACAAAGGTTACAGACGTTTATCAACATGCAGGAACTTGAGGACTATTGTTCCCATGATCCCTTCCTGAGGAATTTGCTAGAGAATGAGCTTCAAACAACCAAAATAATGAGAGACATTAACATAAGGACTGGTGGCAAGCATTGAATATATACTTACTGGTAGAACTAAGACTAAATGAGGGCTAATGGGGAGAGAGGAGAGTATGTAATGCCTGGATGCTCAATGCTCAGATAATGTAGATTTTTAAAAACGATTTTATTTATTTATTTTTAGAGAGAGGGGAAGAGTGGGAGAGAGGGAGAGAAACATCCACGTGAGAGCAAAACACTGATCAGACTGGGCAACCAAATGCACATCCCATTCATGTGCCCTGACCGGGATTGGAACTGGTGACCTTTGGTTTTGCAGGATGATGCCCAACCAACTGAGCCACATGGGTCAGAGCCATGTAGATTTTCTTTTTAATGGAGAAATGGGGAAAGCATGTGCAAAAACATGAACTGTTCTCAGATATTAGATTGGTGACAGGCATTAGTGTTATTCCAAGACTGCATAATATGAGATAATACAAATGAGGAAGTATGAGAGACTCTAATTTTTAATCATCCTCTGTCTTTGACAGCTAAGATGTTTTTAAAAAAGATTTTATTTATTTATTTTTAGAGAGAGGGGAAAGGAAGGAGAAAGAGAGGGAGCAAAACATCAATGTGTGAGAGATACAGTGATAGGTTACCTCCAGTTAGGGGGTGTCCCTAACTGGAGACCTGGCCCACAACCCAGGCATGTGCCCTGCCTGGGAATCGAACCAGGGACCTGTTAGTTCGCAGGCCAGTGCCCAATCTACTGAGCCACACCAGCCAGGGCAGCAAATAAGACTTTTTTTAATGTGGAAGAATACAGATGTAATTCAGAAGACTTTAAGTTAGAGATGAAAATAGGAAATCATGAGAATTTTCATTTAAAAGTCAACACCTCCACACCCCCCTTTTGCTTTATCCACTGAAAAGGCTTAGAGATAATGACCATCCTAGAAGCGATGAGCATACCTAGTAACTCAGGTTGTGGTTTTGAAATACCATTCCCAATAAAAAGAAACCAGGATGGCTAATTCCAAGTCTGGAGCAGGAAATATACAAGATAAGCTTAGAACACCTTGTTTTAAAAGATAGGGAAGAAGCTTTCAAAGACTACTAGGGTTATATCAAACGGACTCAGGAGCCAATTTGAAGATGTCTCGGCAGTTTGGCTTCAAGAAGGGTAATTGCTAGTGGCCACGAGCACAGCCAGCACCCAGATCTTGGTTTCTGATACCATTCCCCAGAGAAACCAGGGCTCCTTAGAGAAAGGGCTGGTTCTAGCGCTGGAGCATGGGGTATGCAGGATGAGTCTTGGTTTCTTTCTCTTTTTAAAAAGATTTTATGTATTTATTTTTAGAGAGGGGAAGGGAGGGAGGAAGAGGGAGAGAAGCATCAATGTGAGAGAGAAACATCAATCTGTTGCCTCTCTGGTCCTGGGAGACTGAACCTGCAACTGGGAATGTGTCCCGACTGGGAATCAAACCAGCGACCTTTCGCTTTGCGGGACAACACCCAGCCAACTGAACCACACCGGTTAGGGTGCGAATGCTGTCTTTAGCAGCCAAGGCAACGTCTTTACCATTCCTCTTTTGCTATGAATCTTGTCCCTGCCCACAGCCTTCCAGGCCTCACTCCTTCAATTACTGCCTCCCCACCCCGTCATTAGCAGTTACAAAACGCACACTTGAGGAAACTACTGGGCAGATGCCCCCAGTTTCGTCGAGACATAACATGTAAGGAAAGGAAGGGATGGAAGAGGAACCTGTACATTTAAAAGATATCAAAATATTTAACATGGGCAAGACTAACCTCAAAAATATTATGGTAGGTGAAAGAAGTCAGACACAAAAGAGTACATATTGCTTGACTCTGTTTCTTTGAGAAATGTCCGGAATAGGCAAAACTATAGAGAAAGAAGGCAGATTAGTGGTTGTCAGGGGCTGGGGGGAGGGCGGGATGGGGAACTAACTATAAACGGGCATGAGGGATCTTTCTGGGGTGATAGAAAATTTTTTAAGATTTTTAAATTATTTTTATTTTTAGAGAGAGGGGAAGGGAGGGAGAAAGAGATGGAGAGAAAGAAAGATCAATGTGTGGTTGCCTCTTGTGCACCCCTCACGGGGGACCTGGTCCACAACCCAGGCATGTGCCCTGACCAGGAATCGAACTGGCAACCCTTTGGTTCGCAGGCTGGTGTTCAGTCCACTGAGCCACACCAGCCAGGGCAAAATTCAAAAAAATTGGACTGTGGTGATGGAGCCACAACTCCGTACTAAACATCATTGAGTAAAACATGAATATACAAATAGACAAGTCTGGCATCTTGGGATGCACACGTGGGTCACAAAGCTGGAATAAAGTCCAGGAAGTTTTTACTATAAAACGTGGTGCAGTGGTTTTCTTTGGGGCAGAGGGGAGTTGTAATTTGGAAGATGTTCATGGAGAAGCTTTCAGGGTGGGTACAGAAGATCTATTTTTTGACCCAGGTGGAAGCTATAAAGGTATAGCATCCTTGTAAAAAAAAAAAAATATATATATATATATAAAATGTATATATGAAATGTGTGTGTGCAGTTCTTTACAATCAAAGCTTTAAAACACACACACGCGCGCGCGCAACTCCTAAGCTGTTCGAAGAGATCAGATCCCCACACATTTCATTCTTTATTATAATATTGAGACTGTTTCTCAGGAGCAAACTCAGAGTCACCAGGAAATGCTCCTTCACCTCACAAGAGGAAAAAAATAATGCAAAAGAGAGACGTAGCACTTGGTTCAATTTGTTTTGGGTGTATACCACATGACAAGTACCATTTGGACCTCAGACCCTGTTCCAAGCGTGTGCAAAATAACACAGCTATTCTTTTCTGGTAGGTTCAACTGCCCAGTGATTTCTAATTTTACACACAAACAAAATTATGTAACTGTAGGCCTGGTTGGGTAGCACAGTTGGTTATAGCATTGTCCTGATATGCCAAGGTTGTAGGTTCAACTCCCCAGTCAGGGAAAATACAAGAAACAATCAACGAATGCCTAAATAACTGGAATAATAAATCCATGTTTCTCTCCCCCCACTCAAAAAGTATATATACATATATATACAAAATTCTATAACTGTAATGGGAAATGGGTGGAGGAGAGGAAGTTACCTGCAGTCCCTGCTCCTTAGCATATCACAAGTTATAAAATCATAAATATTTTTGGCCCTGACTGGTGTGGCTCAGTTGGCTGGGTGTCATCCACAAAGCAGAAGGCCCACTGGTTCCATTCCCGGTCAGAGCATGTGCCTGGGTCCCCATTTGTGGTGTGTGCGAGAGGCAACCAATCGATGTTTCTCTCTCACATCGACATTTCTCTCTCGCTTTCTCCCTCCTTTCCCCTCTCTCTAAAAATAAATAAATAGCCCTGGCTAGTGTGGCTCAGTGGATTGAGCACTGGTCTGCAAACCAAAGGGTTGCCGGTTCAATTCCCAGTCAGGGCACATACCTGGGTTGTGGGCCAAGAAGCAACCCATTAATGTTTCTCTCACACACTGGTGTTTCTCTACTTCTCTTTCTTTCTCCCTTCCACTCTCTCTAGAAATAAATAAATAAAATCTTAGAAAAATAAATAAGTCTTTGAAAAAATCATAAATGTTTTTACTTCTAATGTTTTTGGTTTGCTGGGGTTTTGTTGGTTGGTTACTTTTTTGGAGGGGAGGTTTTCTTTTTGGAGGGTGGTGGGGTGGAGGTTAGCCATTTTAGTAATAATTCTTTCCCAAATAGAATTCATTCTGAGGGGCAACTTCTACGTTTCAGCCTTCTTGTTAAAACCACTGAGAGCATCCTTTCTTACTATTATTTGGCATGTCCTCCGTGAGGTATAAAAGTACTCGCCCCACTTCTGCCAGCCCCCGGTTGGGCGCTAGCTCCATTCCTCGTTCTCCTTTTATGTCATTGCGTGCAGAGTGGAGCTGTGTTTCCTCAGTTTCTCATGCGCGCTTTCTCATTTTTCTACTTCGGCAGAGGTCAGAAGAGCGGCTCAGCAACAAGAAGAGCAAGAACAAAAGGAGGAAGAGGATGATGAGGAAGCACTCCACCGAGCTCGGGAGTGGGATGACTGGAAGGACACCCATCCAAGGGGCTATGGCAACCGACAGAACATGGGTTAGTCTTCCCACAAGAAGACAGGACGACAGGGGACACACCACTTCCCCTCGAAGAAAAGCTGTGCTGTCTTCCCCTACCTGGGTTCCAGCTTCAGCTCTCTACCAAGAAGGCAAAGACGCTTAATCTTGCTTTGCATTCAAATAAAGTGTCAAGCAATTAAGTGTGTATTTGTAGCCTAGATGGTGAACCAGTGATTCTTGTTTTGGCATTATCTCAATCATGTATTTCAATTTTAAGTGGAAAGAAAAGAGTACTGAGAAGTGGGCTCTGTACAGTCAATGGCTATATGAATTCTTAAAAAATAAAGTCCTTTGTATTACAGGGGCCTGTGCAGAAATGTGGGTATCAGCTGTTTTCGTGTGTGTGTGTGTGTGTGTGTGTGTGTGTTTTAAAGGGGGAAGGGGGTCAGCTGTGGGTCCCTGGGCTTATGGTGAGCTCCTGATTGTCTCCCTTTCATGTGGACAGTGAATTTCCCAGCCTCAGCACTGCGCAGACGAGCTGGGGCTTCCGCTCTTCCTACCCCAGCACTGTGCAGTGACCCAACACTGCTCTACAAGGGATGGGCCCCAAAAGCTAGGACTTGCCCTGCCATGCAGCGCTATTTTCAGGACTAACAGCTGTAAATGAATGGATCATAACAATCCCGTCTACCTGCTCTTCCCTGCCTTGGCCAGGAGAGATGAGAGAAACCGATCACGCGCTATGAGAGCCATCCTTGTGTATGCATCTCAGGCCAAGACCTTTACTCTCACGGAAGGATTTGCCATCACTCTAACCAAGGGAGGAGAGGAGAGCAGCTATGACCGAAGCATAGCTCTTAAAGGGGCCTCCGTACACCCTTAGGGCCCTCCTTGCACAGTCTGAAGTAGTCACTGTGTTATGGCGGTCATTTTGCTGGTTAGGAAGGTGCTGACGACCAGGTGTGGAGGATGCGGGAGGCACAGGTGACACTGAAAGCCACCTACTTCCTGCAGCAGAGACGAGGAATGTCCTCAGCTCTTGGGTTGATGCCTTGAAAAAGCAGCCGCGTGTTGAAACAAAGATCTGTATTAAAAACATACTTTTGCTCTATGTGCCTTTGGTACACTGGGTTTTCCAAGAGGAAGATGACTCAGCCTGCCTATTCTAGCCTCTGCAGTCTGGCTCGGGAGAGGGGTTAGGAAAGGAGACTCGGTTCCCTTGTGTTTTTAGGGTGGGAAGCGGAGCGCTGTCAGGCGATGAGTAGGAGGCTGTGTTCAGTGGGAGATGACAGAGGACTACCGATAATATATTTGTATGCTGCTTAATAAAGGACTCATGTCGCCCTCTCTACATAAGCTCCTGAAAGTGGGAGAGCACAGATGACATTCCCCAAGGATTTGGGAATTCATTTTTTAGCTCTTTCAATTATTACCAGGCTGCCTCTGGCAATGACCCGTTTCCTGCCCTTGAAGCTCCACCCTCAGTTCTCAGAATGGGCCAGGTTGCAGTTTCCCTCTTGGCCCCAGTCTATTTAAAGAGACTTCTAGAAGATCCAGCTAGATTAAGCTTCCTCATACATTTCAATGATCTAAAAAGCAAACTAGACCAGGTAAGTGTGAATCCTGACTTTAAAATTTGCAAGCTGTGTGCCTTGCCTAGTGTGGGTCAGTTGGTTGGAGGGTCATCCCGTAAACCAAAAGGTTGTGGGTTCGATTCCTGGTCAGGGCAGATACCTAGGTTGCAGTTTCTGTCCATGGTCAGCATGTGCACGAGGTAAGCAAGTGATTGATGTTTCTGTCCCACGTTGATGTTTCCTTCTCTCTTCCCCTCCCTTCTTCTCTCTCCCAAATCAATCAGCATGTCCTAGGGTGAGGATTAAAGAAAATTGCAACTGTGTGACCTTGGGCAATAAAACTTCTCTGAGCTGCTCCCCTGTGTCCTCAGAGTCTGTAGATGAGGTGTCCCACGGGCTTGTGAGAATGAAACAAATAATGGCAGCCATTATACCGGAATGGAGCAACTGAAGAAAAAGTGCTTTCTGCTCCCCTGAGCTCAATGACTGCCTCTGTGCACTCTGAAGAGAAAACAGACAGGTATTGGGCCTCGGTTGGGGGTCAGACCCTGGACCCAGCACTCTCACATACTATTAATACTCACAATGACCCTGCAAAAGAAGTGGCATTGTCCCCATTTTACAGATGAAAAGACAGGCCCAGAGAAGCTGAGCGATTTCCTCAAGTTCACACTAGTAAGAAGCTATGCTTCTCTCATTTTCGAAGTGCTTCCCAATTGTTTGTGCTTTTAGTTAGGTCTTAAGGCCGCTCTAAAAGAGGCAGCAGCTTCAAAAATCCAAACCCAAACCACCACTTATACATCATTGGAGCTCTAGAAATTCCTTCTTAGCTGACTCACCAAATAAAAGGCTACCCAGCTCCCCTGCCGTCTTCCCCCTCAGCTGGGGAAGAAGACAGAGGCAGTGAGCAAGCCCAGCCTCCTCCATTTTCCTCCCCCTTTCTGCCTGCCTGCCTGAGAGACCAAAAAAGAACCACCTTCTCTACTCCCACGAGAGCCTGGCCCTTCGGGGTCCTAGAGTGAGCTGGGTTTGGGGGGCTCCGGAAAGTAAGGATTCAAAGCTTTCAACAGATCATGAATAAAAACTGCGTCATAGTTTCCAGAATGCTTTCACGTAACACTGCTTATGTGATTTCCACAATCTGTCCGGCAGGAAATGATGTCTTCGTTTTACCAAGAAGGAAACCAGCTCTGGGAAATAAACTGAGTGACTGATTTCAGTCACATAGCTAATAAGTACAGAGTGCAAGCCACAGTATTGGCCCTCAGTGGCTCTCCTGTGGAGGCCCTTTTGACTGGAAAAGGGAACACTGAGCACTAGCTCCTTTAATGCTTTTATGCAGTAATTAGTGCTTTCCACGCTTGTTCCTCTCAACACCCCCATGAGAAAGGCCAGGGGACTGAAGGTGCTGATTTCAAGCCCCAGGGCTCTGCCACTCCGCAGCTCGGTGACTCTGGGGTATCCAAGTCACCTGCACCTGCACTTCTGTCCTTTACAACAACTTGAAAGGGGAACGTTTGCAATCACTCCACCTGCGTGTCATGTGAACTGCAAAGTTGTCCTCTACTTCACCTGGGGCATCCAGTTTGTTCAATACAACAGATGCATTGCCACCCATCCCTGTTGGGCATGCTACATGTAGCCAGGTGGTATTGTTATCACAGTCTCCTTGCAAAACAACTCCTTCCAACACCCCCACGTCATTTCTCCACACGTTGCTTTTAACCCATTCATCCAAGTTACAGTTTAACCTGGCACAGTTCACTCATGTTCCGTGACAAGGAAACCTGGCTCTGAATCCCATTTCTGTCATTACCTTAGCTCCCTCCCTATTGCAGGCAACAAATGTCCTACTTACCTCACAGGCCACAGTGGGGAGCAAATGGAATCCACATGTGGAAACACTTCACATAGTTCTAAAACGACGCAAGAGCCCTCACTGGTGCGGCTCGGTTGGTTGGGCATCGTCCGGCAGAGTGAAAGGTTGCAGGGTTCAGTTTCAGGTCAGAACATGTGCCCGGGTGGCTGCAGAGCGAAAGGTTGCTGGGTTCAATTCCAGGTCAGGGCACATGCCTGGGTCTGGTCCCCAGTTGGGGTGCGTGTGAGAGGCAACCGATGTTTCTCTCCCTCTCTTTCTTCCTCCCTTCCCGTCTCTCTAAAAATAAAGAAATAAAACAGGGCACAAGAAAGAGGAGGAATAGTAGCAGGCTGTTGGTAAGCTAGGGGGACAGAGGAGGGGATGCATTTTTTTCTTCTTCTGTATTTCACAACTTGATTTCTAATGCTTTCTCAATCAATGCTTTGTATATCATCCAGCAAAAGGTTTGTGAAATGCTTTCTTTGTATCTGCCTGTCAGACCACTTCTGATAAATGTATGTGAAAGGACGGTGAACAGACTCTTCGATTGCAGTGTCTTGTCCCACCTGACACTGAATCTCTCAAAGAGACTACAACTCAGCAATGACTTGGGCCAGCCTATGCCCGTATGGTGGCCCAAATAAAAATAGCAGCCATACAGGGTACGGGCCATGTATTGAACACCTACTATATATTAGGAGTTTTGCATTATTCTTAATCCTCACAACAGCCCAGGGTGGATAGTATTATAGCCTCCATTTGTAAATCAGGAAATTGGGGCTCAGAAGAGTGATTTCATGGATTTCAGTCGGCCTGACTCCAAAGTCTCCTGTGCTGTCTCACACTGGAACGTGGGCGACACTGCCTGGTGGCACACTGCTCTGGGGACAACGCTTCCCCTTTCTCTAAGTTTTGAGCAACGATTGCATCAGCTTCTCCTGCTAAGCCCTTCAGGGATGCGCGGGACACATGGTCACCAGGGAAAACCCTACTCTGAAACCTCCTCTTCCCAGGACCTCCTGTCCCTCAAGCCGCAGGGAACATCCTTGCTCTCGGTGCCAGGCCCACCTCCTCACTTCCAGCCCTAGCTGACCTTTGTACAAGCAAATCTTCTAAAGCCTCCGCTGCAGCCTCTCACTTAAGGTTCTTATAATTTTCTAAGCCAGTTGAAGCCCCTCCTTGGTCCAGCAGGCCTTCCCAGACAACTAAGACCAGACATGGGCCATGTATGCATGATGCTTAGGGGCCAGAAGCTGGGAGGAAGGGTCTCTGCCTGAACTCTGAGACCCCTCAACTCTCAGGGACAGATACCACCTGTGCTATCCTTGGCCCTTGGCCATGGCTCAGAGACATTTGCAGAAAGATGTCTTACTGGCGCCCTGCCAGCTTCCTGCGCACCTGCGCCCTGGGTGCTAATGCTGGCCCTGACCTTTCCGCTCACCTCCCACACCTCTGTCCTTCCATCCACTGCACAGCTGCGCGTGGGGAACAAACCGAAGGCCAACTCAAGTCTTGGAATGAGCTCATCGCATTCCTCACCCCTCTCTCTCCATCGCAGCTTGTTAGGTCCTCCCCGTCTATTTAGTGCTCACCCTAAGAAGCTTAGCATTGTGTCAGCCATTTCCCTTTTGAAAAAGCAAGCATTCAGTGTTTGGGGAGTGAATTACTGCATGAATGAGTCCTGTGATGAATCGCACTTCTTCATCAGGCAGATTCACAATAATCCAGCCTCTTCCTTTTCATGTTCAAACAATTTCACATAAAAGAAAACCCAGAATCCCTTCACCTTCAAGCAGCAATCATTTCTCTCTCAGAACTTTCAAGTTAACAGTGAAGAGAGCACATTTTCACAAAGGGCATTCAATGGAAGGGTCTGCTTTATATTCTGCTTTTAACATACCATAGACTACAGAG